CACAAAAACTATTTTTGTAAAAAACTGTGGGTCTTACTTTATCTACAGACTTAAAACGCCACCTGGTTGTAGCTCGCGCTACTGTAGTGCAGACTGAATGTGAAGTAAATATACTTCGCGTAGTAAGAGGATTCACAAATCGCTCAGTAGGTACATGTGTATAAGGTTTTGACATGTGATGTATTCAACCTTTCTTCTCTATCGTCAACATTATCAGCAGATTTTAACTTTGGTGGCAAACAGGTATTTATTTCATTAGAATGATAATTCTCATCAGATAACCTCTGTCATCGAAGGCAGTTGAAGGATCTTCAAAGTAATCTTCAAGTAAAATATGCAAGACACAAACTTTCAAGCTGATGGTTTTCGAGCATTTCATTTATTATTTTGTTTTTTGTTGTTTTTTTTTGTCTTTTTCATCCTTTAATTGCTGTAATTATAAACCATGATTATTTTAACGTAGGTCAGTGGAATACAAACAGGCGCTATCTCTCGTTATAGGCGTAGAAAAAAAAGTGATGACAGTCAAAATCTGATGTCCTTTGAAATTACATAAAGTTAACGTAATAATAGTGACTCAGTATTTTGGAACGTCGAACCAATTTCCAGACACACAGTAAGCAAAATTCAATGGTTTAGCCTGCGTAACGTGTGTTAAATGTGTCTGAATCGACCAGAATTCATTTGAGATTAACGGATCGCTTACATCTCACGCTTATTTTGAATCCAAGTTAAGGATCTTTACGCAATGGCTTCAGAGTGTCCCTATACAACTTATTTAACTAAGGGCACGGGCACTTCATTCATTCACGACGAAATTTGTTTAAATAATTTTATATAGGTAATTACGCGTTTCAAGCGCAATTTGCGATAAAACAGAACGAGAAATTTTTCAACGACTGACCAAATTGCATGAATCCGTAGGGCGAGTGCAACTTGCATGTGTATTATTGAGTTTAAAAGCTACATGTAGCTTTTAAAAGTTGACCTGTTTTACAACGGTTAATGTTTGCTTACAGCATTAACAGGCTAAACATAAGTTGTAAACAGCTTTCTACACCGTTTAAGTACATCACCAAAATATTTTACAGGAATGTTAGATTTCAAATCAAAATCACAGTTTCTCACTGTGAAGTTTTCCTTTTCATACTACGAAAATACTCAAAGGATCCTATGAAAAATAATAAGCGCAGAAAAGAAACCCACCATAACCCTCAAGGGCTACTGCCTGATATTTCAATACTCCAGCTAGACTAGTCTTCCAATTATTTGATGTTCATTTGTCTCTGATGATGATGAGACCTGAACACTAAGCAAATGGGGAAAAGCAAGGAGAGTCTCTTGACTGACAACGTATCAAAATACAGAAAAATCGCCGGTGGACTTTTCAAAGCAAAGTGATATGAGCTGGGTCAATTGTGGCTCAGCTTTTCGAGTGGTGTAAATAGAAGGGCATCGTGTATGTTATCTAATTATTTAACAAAAACTGTGTATCGCTTTGTAAATACATTTACCTTACACGGAGTATTTTCAGCTGAGTTTCATAACACGAACACGACAGTAAATGTTAAGGGCAGTGTAGTCCGAGGGTCGGAGTAGGTTCTCGATACCACTCATCTAATGAAAGGTTATGTGAAAGACTTTTCAAATTCACTTGATGGCAATCGCGAAAGAGTTGCTCTCACCATTTTTTACTGGAGTCAGTGTCAATAACCAGGGAAAAATAACAACAACAACAAGGAAATGTTTGGGAAAATGCATGACACCAGAACCCAGCGAAGTAAAAACAGAACAATCAATCAAAACCGGGTTTAACTTTACATCACAACGATTCAGTAACAAATCGAGAAAGTTATTGAAAAAGATTTTACCGTAAAGAAACAGAAAAAGGAAAATAAGGTCATTCTCAACATAATATTGAACATTTTTCTTGATTAATTGCAAGTAATTTTCACAAGTAATGTTTGAATTATTAAGTTAATAGTAATAAAAAAACTTGCAAAAAGGCATCTCTTGTAGTTCATGCCTTTGTTAGTGTTAAGGGATGTACATAAATTTGCTACCCACAAAGGA